TTTCTTTTTTGTTATGATCAAGTCTCCTTTTTTTTCTTTTTCTTTTTTTATAGCTTTTGGTCCCTGTTTTGTGGCTAGTGTATGACTTCAATTTGTGAACCTCTGTTTTGGTCATGGGAATTGTATCAATTCTATATGATTTTAACAAGCAACTTACTTTTGATGTATTGAAGGCCATTATTTGAGTGCCTCAGCACAGATGTGGGCTAGCACCCATAATTATACTCTGAAAGAGAAAATGTCTGCACTCGTCTCTGCTCTGTCTGCCTGTCAAGATAAAATAGGTACAGGATATCTTTCTACTTTTCCTCCTGAGCTATTTGATTGTTTTGAAGCTATAAAACCAGTTTGGGCACCATGTTACACCATTCACAAGGTATAAACTACTATAGTTGTTTACTAATTTGTTTATTATATACCATTGATATTAACACTTCCTACATCAAGAGATACTAGCAGGTCTTTTGGATCAACACATATTTGCCAATAATGATCAAGCTTTAAAGATGGTGACATGGATGGTTGACTACTTTTACAAGCGTGTTCAGAATGTGATAGTGAAATACACTATTCAAAAACACTGGCTATCATTAAATGAAGAAACTAACTGCATGAATGATGTCCTTTATAGGTTGTACACAATAATGGTGCATAAAACTCATCTAGGAACCTCCTTAGCTCTTCATCGTGGTAAAGTAGCATGATTATTTGTTATATTTTTTGTATCAAATATCAGCCCGGATGACTGGGTTTGTAAGGCATTTGGAAATCCCACATAATAGAAAAATGAGTCATAAACATCATATATTCACTTCCTATAGAGCATTAGGGCAATCTGCAAAAGGAGTTTCATCCAATCTGCAATTCTGCAAAGAATTTGGCACCTTCTTTTGCTTTGAAAATCTGTAGTGCGATTATGCCCTTAATTCCAACAAATATTGCATTAAACAAACCAATGTCATTTAATAATCCCAAATTCCTATATAGAGCTGTAAAAGCTGATTTGATAAGTGGCAACACTTAATGAGATTTTTGTAAATTGTCACAATTGGTCAGGGATTTTGGTTTAGTAGGCCTTTTTCATTGGGATTGGGGGGTTGGCGAGTTGGGAAGAAGGGGTACTGAAGTGTTGTTGGTCCTTCATAGATTATCACTACATTGTTTTTTTCCGTATCTGTAAATTCTCCAATAATTTCAAAATTATTTTTTTGACAAGGTCGTTTGTTTGTTGTGACTATGTGTAGAGAGATTCAAAACATTTATTGTTGTCTAACCTTTTTGACAAACCCTGCTTTCTAGGATTGCTTGCGATAAAGGTAATTATCGACTCTTTTGTTTAATTACTTTAAACTTCTATTGGTAAATAGATTGTATTAAATTTTTGCAGTAATGTGGTGGTGGCATACAAGTAGTGAATAGGGCTGTCCAAAGATGCCACTAGATTCTTGAACTATTTGTGCATAAAATGAAGCCACTGCTTCAGTTGATTCAACTACAGATAATCTTATCCAGAAGATCATCTGAACAGAGTTTATGCACTGTGTGCATTATTGCTCATCGTATCCCAACTGTTATTGACAGCGATCTAGTTCTGGTCCTCAGTGATGGTGCGTACACTAATACTTCCCATTTTTTCTTCCATTTAGTGGACATAAGTGTTGCTACAATATGTAGAACTTTTTCCTAAGAATTTTATTATAATCTGCATTTGGTAATGTTATTAATTTTCACGAGTATCCAAAAAAATTTCGTTTCTTTTTCTTTTAATCTTTTGACAAGATAAATTAAATTAGTAAAAGGCTCTAGAAGAGAAAGCCCCTTGTAGATCTGTAGGAACAATATCAACACCCACAACTCTTTAGATATCTTACAATGAATAATTCCCTGACTCTGCATCTTCTTTTTCACTAGTAACACCAACTAAGCACAATGTGTTTGCATTGAATCAAATTTTCCAAGATTCATCAAATTTTTTTGATGTTCTTGAAATGATGGAAACTCAAGGAGATTATGGTATACAAGAGTATATATCTAATCTTGATCCTCAGGTTATGTAGGTGAATATGTATCTTGATTAAGAGTTAACTTTTAGAATGTAAATAAGGATTTGATAGAGTTGTTGGTCTTCAACGTCAAAGTCTTAGGTTTGATATTTTACACTGTAAAAATATTAGAGAGTTTTGCTTCTCATTTCTCAACTTGAGTATGATGGTATGGCAAGTATTATCTAAAAATGATTCTCTCTCTTTGGCCCGCGGTAATTGCTGGAAGTTGAATGAAGGCTATTGCTTCTTAATCCTCTTGTGACTTGTTCCATCAAATTTATTAACATAATGTTTTTACAACTCCGAGGTTGTTTGTACAGTTGATCTTTATTTTTATTTTCATCTCTCTCTCTCTGAAGCATCTAAGTATCAAAGTCACTTATAGGTCATTCTATTACAGTTCTGTTTTCATTTTTCTTTTCGCTTTTCACTTCTATGAATTTTAGCATTTGAAATACCCAGAATTTATTAGATTTGGAATCCATTGCTGCCAAGTTTTAACTGGTAATCTTTCTTATAGAACATCAAAACTTGAGTCTAATATTTTGGAATTTGTTTTAGAACAATTTCTCAGTTTTTTATCATTTAATTTCCCAGTGAAATTTTAGTCTATGTTGTGTTTCTGCTGCAGACACCAACAGAAAGCTCATGAAACTTAGTTTTCCAGGTCAAGTGATAGAGTCTGATAGTCCAGCAAGGTTACTAGATGACAAGTCTTTCATGTTTCTTAAGTTGGTGTCAGAGTACTCATCTAGATCAACTAGTGCTCTTTGCATAACCATTTAGCCTTGTTTTATAGATGGAATCCTTCAATAATAGCTTGGTTCTTTCTTTCCTTTGATCACTTGAATTTCTAAATTCTAGGGGCATATTTGGTTTCTATTTAGTCAACGGACACTTCACCCCTCAAGAATTCAAGTTTCTTTTTTCATCAAAAATTGAGTATATATATATTTATTTATTTATCAGTATGTATTTCTGGGTAATATGAAGTGTATTGAGTGAGAATTAGCTTGTTGTTGTAGTAGATGTATTGGTTAAATTATCAATTTTAGTGCTAAATTTGATTCTCTAGCCATTTCTGTTGTTGTTTATTATGTTTAGCCATTTGTTTATTTTGGGTACTTGGAACTTTAACTTGTTTATAAAATACTCTCTTTGGTTTATTTTTCTGTCACTAGTTTGCTTTTTTAGGTGTGCTATTGATGTGTAAGTAATGGCTTTGCGACATTCATTTCAAAGGTTGTTTCTTGTAGTGATTGATTTATCTTAATCTATTATGGCTCAATGGTAAGGGAGGGTGATAACAGCTGACTATTTGCAAAAAAATTGTGCTCTAGGTAGTAATTTTAATGTCTTCCCTTTTTGTAAAAGTAAAGTTGAATCTACCAACCATGTTCTGTTACTGTGCTCTAAGTCTGAGCTACTAAATTGGTGGGGTTTTCAGTGGGCAACTCCAGATTCACTTGAGGGTGTGCTCCAATGGTGGTCTAGAGTGAAGCTAAGTAAATTGGAAATGAGTGCTAGATGTGTATATAAATACTGTCATCTTTATATATGGGATTCCACACATTTTATAGTAGTAACAATCAAAGTTGTTATTTATTTTCTATTGATGTAGGAGATGAAGAGTCAGTGTGATGAGAAAATGTCCGATTTTGTCTTTTGTAAGACAAGAACAGTCTCTACAAAAATAGTAAGTTTATTCATATACTTCTAGCGGTTTCTGAATTAATTTGTGTTTTTATTTTTCAGGTCAGAAATTTCTTAGAGTGATGCAAAATATGGTCAAAGAATTCAAGAAACTAGTTTTTTCAAGTTTTTTCATTTTTTATTATATGTAATCACAGTTAAAAACTTTTTATTAATTCCTTTGTATGTACTTTTGAACATTCAACTTTCATTTATGAAATATATGACGTTATTCCATTCAGTATATGGTTGTGATTCAAAATATAGTATATAGTGTGTATTACATTCTTCAAATGCGCGTATAAAAATAATATTATCATAGGTTTTGTTAATTATTAATCACATTTAAAAGATGTGATCTGAATGTTATTAATCATACTTAAAAGGTGTTATCTGAATGTTTTTACTCACACTTAAAAAGTGTGATTTAAATGTTATTAATCACACTTAAAAGCTGTGAATAAAAATGACTATTTTTAATCACACTCCCAAATATCACACTTTAATAAAATTTAAAAAGTGTGATCTTTATTTGTTTTTGTAGTAGTGATTTTGTTCTTTTTCACCTCCATGAGCGTAACAAATTAGAAACTCGCGCCGGTCTGTGTTGTTTCCTAGGGTATGGGATTGAACATAAAGGTTATCGTTGTTGGGATCCTCTTTCTCGTCGTCTCTGTGTCTCTCGTCATGTGGTATTTTGGGAATGCAAGATGTTCACTTCTCTGTCTAAGTTTCATTTGTCCACTCCTCCTACTATACCATTCTTTACAGATCCTTATCTTTTATTTGATGAGCTTGATACATATCTTACTTCTGACATAATGACTCTGACTCATCCTGAGGATTTTGCTCCGCCTCCAGGTCCTGCTGCTCCACTCTCTGATCCTAAGCCTGCTCCTGAGCCTGCTTCTGCTCCTGCTCCTGCTCCACCTTCTTGACTTGTCTTCATTCCATCTCACAATGAGCTTCATGCATCCCTTGATTCTACTCCATCATCTTCTCTACCAGAGGCACCTCTTCGTCATTCTACTTGGGTAACATAACCTTTTATACTTGTTCGTGATTTCATTATTGGTTTTATTGTTTTTTCTTCTCATAAACCTACTCCCTATCAAGAGGCTTGCTCTAACCCTCTTTGGCAGCAAGCTATGACTAATGAACTACTAGCTTTTGATCAAACTCATACCTCGGATGTAGTTAACCTTCTACCTAGAAAGAGTACTATTAGTTGCAAATAGGTTTAGAAGATCAAAACCCATTATGATGGTTCTATTAAGCGTCACAAAGCTCGACTTATTGCCTGGGCTTTTACTCAAGAATATGGGATTGATTATACAGAAACATTTTCCCCTATTGCTCGTCGTACTTCAGTTCGCAGCTTCCTTGCCATTGATGTTGCTCACCATTAAAGTCTTTGTCACATGGATGTCAAGAATGTTTTTCTCAATGGTGATCTCACTGAGGAAGTTTATATGTAACATCCTCCTAGTTCCTCAGTTTCATCCACCAAAGTTTACTAACTTCACCGTGTTTTGTATGGTTTGAAACAAGCTCCTCGTGCTTGGTTTGCCAAGCGTAGTTTTACCATTTGTGACTTTGGCTTCTCCTCCAGTGCCCATGATTCTGCTTTGTTTATTCGCAAGAAAAAGTGTGGTATTCTTCTTCTTCTTCTCTATGTGGATGATATGATCATCACTAGGGATGATATAATGGATATCTCTAGTCTCAAACAGTTCCTCAGTCGCCAGTTTGAGATGAAAGATTCGAGTCTACTTAGCTACTTCCTCAGCTTGGAAATTTCTTCAAATCCTTCTAGTTACTTTCTCACTCAGGCCAAGTATACATCTAATCTCTTAGCTCGTGCTAGTCTTACCGATTGTAAGACTGTGCCTACCCCAATTGATTCTTAGACTCTCAAACCTCTTGATGGTCACCTGTTTTCTGATGCTACTTTATATCATCAGCTAGTTGGCAGTTTTGTCTATCTCACGGTTACTCGTCCAGGCATTGTTTATGTTGTTCACATTGTCAGTCAATTCATGGTTGCTCCTTGCTCTCCACACTATGATGCTCTGGTTCACATTTTGTGCTATCTTAAAGACACTATGTTTTATGGTCTTCACTACTCAGCACACTATTCTCTACAGCTACACGCCTTTTCTGATGCAGATTGGGCAAGGGATCCTACTGACCGCCATTATACTACAAGGTTCTGCTTCTTCTTGAGTGACTCTCTCATTGCCTGGCATAGCAATAAGAAAACTTTTATTGCTCGTTCTAGTACTGAGGTTGAGTATTGTGCTCTTATTGATACTTCTCAAGAGCTTGTGTGGCTTTGTTGGCTTCTTTCTGATATAGGCATTTCTCATCCTACTGCCACTATACTCTATTGTGACAATCAGAGTGCTATTCAAATTACACATAGTGATGTCTTCCATGATCGCACCAAGTATATTGAGATTGATTGTCATTTCATACGACAACATGTTACTAGTGGCACTGTTTGCCTTATCTTTGTTACCTCTGCCGATCAGACAACCGACATCTTCACCAAGGTTCATCCTCCAGAGCACTTTTTTTATTTACTTTCCAAGCTCAAGTTGATATCTGCATTGCCACCTTGAGCTTGAGAGGAGGGGGGGTGTTAGCTATATTTCCATATTGTGTACCATACCATATTGTGTTTTACCATGTTACCATATAACGCATTACTTACCATATTGTACATTACCATATTAGCTTCTCCTTCTCCTTCTCCTTCTCCTTCTCCTCTATAAAAGAGTCTTGTATTCATTCATTATTTATTTATTAAAATATACAGAGTTATACTCTCTGTCTTTCTGTCTCTCTCTCTCTATATATATATATATATATATTCTCATAGCAATAATGAAGAACTTTTGAAGTCAAACCACAACATTAAAATATTTTGCCATTGGACCTGTCCCTTGACGAGGCAGAGGTCAATTATCTATTTCAACATATGGTTGTCTCAAATAAGTTTATAGGTTGGGGAAATTTCTTATATTCTGTTTAACTTGAGTAGTAATATCGCGTCATCATCAAAGGTGGAGGCCTCTTGTACTATCAACTACATTTGAGATGTAAATCAGCCATTGATCCTAGTGCAGTCCCTAAGGCCTATTTGGTGCAGTGGCTTGTAAGCTGAAACTTGATAAATCAGAAAATAGAAGCCAAAAACTCCCCTCCTGCAGCTTCCAAATAATAAGTTATTTTCAGCTTATTTAAGCTATTTTTGCCTAATAAGCTACATGCAAAAGTTACACCAACTAATCTGGCACATACTCAAAAAATAAATTAAAAAAGAGCTATAAGCAACAACTCATATAAGCTTTTGTATCTAGCAAATTGTTGAGGGAATGTCAGGAGAGTAGAGAAAGGTCCTGCTCTTTTTCTAGACATCGGTAAAATATCTACCAATAGAGGGTTTTCGTGATTTGTCTTCTTGGCTTTACATCTACAAGTCTTTAGAGTCATGTGATCGCTTGCCTTCATCTGACACATGCTTCTACTGGTTGTGTTTCCTACCATACCCATCGGAGGCTGTTATGCAAGCTCATCTTCACATCATTACCTAGGAACATGTTGGCTGTAGCTTTGGTACTTGGTGAAATATGGACGGATGAGACAAACAAATTTGGGAGAATCAAACTTTTGGTTGCACATAAAAAATAATAATAAAAAAGATTTGTATGTAGCACAGAACATCACAAAACAGTACAACGTAGTTTGTACAGATGATATGGTAGTTTTGTTATTTTAATTATGTATGTTGTTGCTGCCTCTCCAAAGTTGCGTTTCCCTGATGAAGTTTGTAATTTATTTGTTTGTTTTGTTCTCAACTGTTTATATGTATATATAGGTAGATATATGGCGTAAAATAAAGATGGTAACATCTAACTTTTCATGCTCTGTGAAGTTTGTTGAAAATATTCTTTTCACATGTTCCTTTGTGAAAGTTCAGAGGTTTCTCCTAAATCTAGCCTTCCCTGAAATTTCAATGCTGTATAATGTTCGTGATTACAGAAGCTTAAAATTGTTCTCCATGTGAGAGAGGATCTGAATGAATTTTGCTTTAATTTCTTTTTTTGAATTTCGCACTAGGGTACTTACATTACGGTCTCCTAGTCAGGTAAGGCTTATACCATAATGCTCATGAGCAGAATCTTAGCTTGAGACTACCATTGCACACATTCGTTACTCTTTAGGAAGCATCTACCCCACGTAAACTACACTGAGAAATTGCTTTCCCACAGTTAAACTACATTGTGAAAGTATTTAGTGTAATCGGTATTTCATGTCACAATTGATGATGTAGTATCCCTTCCAATGAGAATGACATGTGTGCAAGCTCCCACTGGTCTAATTTCTCTACCCTGCTCAGTGTAAATCTCAAACAAAAACCCCCAAACCCTAGACTAGGGAAAAATTAATCTCACCAACAACCACTCTCCTTGCTACTAGCCAAACCCAAGTTGTCCCCAAATTAGAGCTGCTAGAAACAATAATATATTATAAACCCAGCCTACAAAAATGAAGAGAAAAACAATGCAATGCAATTAACCAAAGTCAAGTTTCACTTATAAATATTCTAATGTGAAATTTCAAATCATCCATTACTATGCAAATCAACATTGCTGGCATAGAATTACACACACACCAAACATGCAGTAATTAGAAAAGATAAGATACACATAAATATATACATATACATACACACCCATATCACATACAATTTTGAGGAATAAACATAGAGTAATCGATTTGGTTTGTGATTGGTGTTTCATGAGCACCAATAAGATAAGAAAAATATTTGGGAGCACTAATTAATTCGAAGTGTTGTGATTGGTGGAAAATATAGGATCTATGATTTTGTATCGGGTGATTGTGTAACATGAAGGGGTATGTTGTATGATGATTAGTGAAGGAGTATAAACACATGGTATTCTAGGAGCACTAAATATTTTTTTGCTAATTAAGCACTCTCAATCCAACCCCAATGACCTGGAATGGACCATGTGAAGAGGTATGCCCACACTCCTCATCCCTTCTCTCTCAAAAAATGCTCGAGAGACATAATTTATCACCCCTAATAATGTGTCCTCTCTCTCTCTCCCATCTCTCTCTCTCTCTATTTTTTCTTTCTTCCACGTCATTAGGTGTCAAAATGGTGGTGCTATATTGAAAGGATGTAGCATAGTTGATAAGATAATATTTAGTTCACTGAAATAAAATGGACCATCGAAATGTTTATTTCATGTTTGGTTGACTAAAAAATAATGATAAATGCATTACAAAATAAAAATGAAATCATTATTCGCCATTTGAAGGAAATGCTCATTTCATATAAAAGACTAAGGATCATTCTATTTCATTTCATCTCATTCTACTAAATCAAATAGAGCATAAGAATTATGATTATGTATGTGTCGTGTTTAAAGGTTGAGAAAGAAAATCCAAAGAAAGTATGGGAAAATTTTGAAGGTTTTGGTGATATGGCTGGAAAAAATCGGGACGCCCTTAGTTTGATGAGAATATTTTTGTGGTTGTCTGCAGAAAGTTACCTTTTTGCGATTCAGCTACCGGAAGTTTCTCTTTCACATACTGTTTTCGGATGCCGGTTACACTTCACACACAATAGCCATTATTGTGCACACAATGAGACTTTTTTTTTTTTTTTTTTTGATGACGCTGAATTGTTTTTTTTTTTTTAGTATACATTTCATAGAACATATTTGTAAAAAATCAAGTTAATTAGAAATTAGTTGTCCTTTCATCAAAAGACATTTGTGTCGAAAAAAAATGAATAGTAAATATTATTTTACATTGCATTGGTAGTCTCTACATTTTGCCTTTTTGTGCTATTTTAGTCCTTATAATTTCAACTAGCTTAATTTTAATCCTTAATTTTAGATTTTGTGTCAATTTGGTCAAATTGATAATGCCAATTAGGATTTTTGAAGAAAAATGATCATTAAGTTGGTTGAGATTATTTACCGAAAAAAAGTTGGTTGAAATTAATTCACTCAGCTGAACAAGTGTACAATATTGAATATAGAAGTATAACATATGCCGGTTATGTGTGTATTTTTATCAAAAAATACTAATAGTTACAATCAATTGGATCAAATTGAAATAAAATCATACATTCAAATCAAAATCAAGCTAATTGAAATTATAGGGATCAAAATGACACAATGTTCAAAATATAGAGACTATTAGCGTAATGTGCGATTAAATACAAATGTAATTTGATGAAAAGTCTAATGATGTTCGATTAACATGATTTTTTACAGATATATTCTACACGATATACGTTAAGAACTAAACTATTCAAAGCATCAAAATAGTATCCAAAATGAGCTTCATCGTCTGCACAATAGTAATTACTGGGATTCACACAAACTAGCCACTCCAAATCTAGGCATTAGCAACGTGGTGACAATAGTAATAATTGCCGATGAGATTAAATAATTTTGGGTTAATTATTTAGAAGTCATAATGACAGTAGGTGTGATAGCTCAAGTCTTGTGTAACAGTTTTTGGATGCATAAGTCTCATTTTAGAATGCAATTGACGTTTTGTCCCTTTTAATAGATCACGTCAATTTGCAAGTCGAATGATGATCAGTTAATAAACTTAGAAGCAATATATAACAAAATCAAAACATATCAAAATTCAGAATATTGGATTTGAGATCTGGAGATCTAGTTTATATGTAAGAACTAAGATATTCTCAATTTTAAAACTGAAAATGATTTCAGTTTACAATTACCAAAACTAAGAAATTTCTCAAATTTTTCTAGTATTAACTGAAAATATTATCAGTTTTGAAAAATTTCTCAATTTTTTTCAGTGTTAAAATTAAGAATATTATCAGTCTACTCTCTCTCTCTCTCCCCCTCAACTTCTCCTTCTACACTTTCCAGATCTAGTTCGAAATAAGCATGTCTAGGTCACGACAGTGAGAGACGGTGATAGCAATGGTAAGTAGGGAGCGATGGCGACGACAAGAAGCGATGGGCGAACATAGGCAACGACATGGCTGGGTCGCGATGTAGTAAGGGGTGAAGCACGAGAGATGGAAGAGAAAGCGTCGATGGGCGACTGAAGAAGGTTGACGTTGGATGAATGGGGTTGGAGAGCGACATCGACGGTGGGGTTTAGCACCGGAGGTGGCTCGTCAAGATAGGAAAGGGATCATCGGCGATAGTTCAATAGTGGTGGCTGGAGAGTGTGTGTGTGTGTGTGTGTGTGTGTGTGAGTGAGAGAGAGAGAGAGAGAGAGAGAGAGGAACAAAATGTTTCATGTTTTTTAATTTGTAAGGATATATTGGCCATATAAAATGAACACAGGGCTAATGTGTTTAAAATTTTGTGAGTAGGATCTACACTATCATTAATTGTCAAAACAAGACTTGACTATTACCCAATAATTTTTTTGTTTGGGTGGGTTTGTGGGATTTCGCTATGAGGATGGGAATGCTGGGTATGACAGAGAGATTATAGAAAAATATTTGAGACCCACAAAAAAATCCACAGTAGTACCCACACTGATGCAGTGTCATATGTGTCAACTTTTGATTTGTTACACATTGACTCATTAGTATCCACACATTGACTCATTGACTTATTAACGCATTAGTACCTACTATAGTACTCACACATTGACTCATTAAGTAAACAAATCAAGTTTAAATATAATTGTAAACTTGTTAAGTTTTCAAGTTAACTTGAACAAGCTACTATTCAGCTCAATAAGCTTACATGCATATGCACTATCAATGTAATGTCCAGGGTATTTAACCCCATTTGTCTTTTTGTTTGTTTCCACCTAATCATCTTGTTTTCGAACCTTAATCTTATTTTGAGACATTTTAGACCGTGTGGTGTCACCACACTTTGTAACTTACGTGTTTTCATTTTCTAAATTAATCTCGATTTAAAACTTTCGAATTTTAGGCGAGGACAGAATCGAGGTGTGAGGAATACCTTAGAACCATGGCATTAAACATTCCCACACGTGAAGAGGTAGAACTATACGTACAAAGAGGGTGGCTGCATGTGTAGGGGTGGGTGCGAAGGAGAATTCCCACATGTGTGGGAAGAGGCACCACACATGCGGTCAATGGACCCGCACGTGCGGCCAAGTGCCTGCACGTGTGGAAATATCTTACTCAATTTCGAAATTTGAACCACTTTTATAAAATTTGATTCTCTCTCTCCTTCTTTGTTCACTTTTCCTTATCTCTCTGTCTAAACTCATTTTTCTCTACATTCTCTCTAATCCACACCCAAAACTCTCACATTTTGTTTTATCTACAGAAATCCACCAACATTTTGAGCCATGTTCTTCCAATATCGGAGAGCAATATAAGAGCTTCATTTTGTGCGGTGGAGATTGACTTCTGACGTCGTCAATTTTAGGGCTTTTCTC